GCTAATGTAATGTGACATCAATGCCGTGACTGCTTTCCCCTCTTCCGTGTCGTCTCGATTCCAGTTCTCCAGGATGTACTTGGCCCCACGCTTAATCACACTTCTTGAAATGCCACCTCCAGTTTCTTCAGACTCGTCCCAGTGCAAGACGCGTATCATACTCATAGCACTCCCATCTTGGAAAACCTTTTTTATCTCGTCTTGCTCTGTTTTTGCCGCTTTCGTCGCACGAGATGAGGCACCTGCAGGTGGTTGTACTACCATTTTCGGCCACAACGAGAATTGCAAAATGTCACCCTTTCGAATGCCGTGTGCGTAGGCCCAGCTCCTCTTCTCCGGAGGGGTGACTACTAGGCGTTTCGTCTTACTTTTTCCAACGGGGACAGAAGCGAAGGTTAGAGGATGAGCAGGTGCTACATCAAGCGTTGCTAGGTTCATACCACGACAAACAATAGCAAGACTGGGTCTGGGGTTGGGCACGTGAAATTCATTTAGTTGCGTTTTTCAACAAACAGGTCCGCCTACTCCATCAGAGAGAGACAGACAGAGCGAGTTGTTCGTGTACGTAAGTGGAAGACAAATGAAATGAGGCCAAAGTAGTAGCAGCCTAAGCCTTAAAAACTGTTGATGTACGTCGTTAAAGCCGAAGCGCCATCCTGCATCTGTCGTCGGTTTCCACTCAAGAACTTCAGTAAAAGGCATCAACTTGGTTTCTTCGCTGTAGGTAAGCTTCTCAGCGTCAGTAGTCAGCGCTAGCGCGTAAACTTGTGGAGGGCATACCTTAGTAGAGTCTGAGCTCCACATGGACATGGAGGGCAGCCATGATAGCATTGAGCTTGAGGTGGAAGTAGCTGCCTCGTTTTCCGATTGTACGAGCGCACGGTCTTCAGGTAAGGCGACCCGCGCAAAAGGGATCTCAATCTTGCCTGTTTCACCTTTAGATCTCGGCACTAAAACTTTCCTTTGAAAACTCTTCGATGGATCCACGTTTAGCGTAAACGTCACTGGCTGCGGTGGTGGAGTTTTGGCACGTGGTGGAGTTTTGGCACGTGGTGGCGCAGTAGGAGTACGTGGAGGCGGTGGAGGCTCATTCTCAGATTCTTGTTCAGGAACAGGTGGTGGAGTGCGTCCTCGCTGCTCAGTCGCATGCACACCACGCGGTTGAGGTTGAAAAGGTGGAGTTACCCCTCGCTGTTCCGCTTCATGTTCACGAGCACCTTGAGAAGTATTTCCGATCTCATGTGTATTCGTGTGATCCCTTGCCCTTGCATCAGAACCAGAAGCGCCACTTGCTGATGTGTTCAAAACATGTTGAATCTTCTCCCTCTCCCCTGAAAAATATTGTTCGTCATGTTCATGATGGCTTTCACCTGCCTGAGACCCTTGTTGTCCTCCTCGTTCTACCAGCCAGTACCGTTTGCGCGTCTCTGCCGGTTGTTCTTGTTTTTCAGCCTGTCGTGGCTCAGCACTTTGTTGTTCGTCCGCTTGAAGATTATATACTTCTTCCGAATCGCCTTCTCTTCGTCCTCGACCACCCAACACGTCGTTGCCACCTGCGTCTTCGTTCGTTTCCCCCTCTTCTTGGATATAATCGGGTAGCACACGTACAGGTGCTGTGCTGGACGTATCTCTATTAGGAACATGTTGACCACCCAACACGTCGTTGCCACCTGCGTCTTCGTTCGTTTCCCCCTCTTCTTGGATATAATCGGGTAGCACACGTACAGGTGCTGTGCTGGACGTATCTCTATTAGGAACATGTTGACCACCCAACACGTCGTTGCCACTTGCGTCTTCGTTCGTTTCCCCCTCTTCTTGGATATAATCGGGTAGCACACGTACAGGTGCTGTGCTGGACGTATCTTCATTAGGAACATGTTGACCACCCAACACGTCGTTGCCACTTGCGTCTTCGTTTGTTTCCTCCTCTTCTTGGATACCGGGTAGTACAGCTACAGGTGCTGTGCTGGACGTACCTTTATTCGGAGCATGTGGATCTCCTGGCGAACGTGAACCCGAGGAACTGCCAGCTCGTTGACTCTCTTGTTGAGCTTCGGTTCCAGCATTTCCGGCTAAGCCTGCTAGAGCAGTCGGCATCAAATCCCTTGCAGCTGTAGAAATACCGGAGATACCGCTTGGTTGATCAGCCTTTTTGAACAGAGCGCCAAAGAGCCCAAATCCAGTTCCAAAAGCTCCAACTACGGCCGGCGCTGTTGATGCATCAGGTCTCACCACCGAGTCTTTTTGTTCGGTACCAACAGCGCTTTTCGACGTTGCTACGTCCTTCACGGTGATGGGTATAACTTCAGCGTCATCAACAACTGGAGTGTAAGGAACAGGAGCTGCGACTGTCGATATCACTGCTCTGTTTGCGGGTAAGGACCCTTCTGATGAATGTTCCTTCCCTGGTACAGCTGTGGCCGTCTCTGACTCTGCAGCTTTGTCCTTGTCTTGTGCATAATGATTAGAGCTACCGTGGTCACATCCCTGAGAACATCATCCCTGGCTCCATTTTCAACTTGAAAAAGAGCCAGGGAGGAAGGTGAGAGAGGATGCTCCAGCGGTAGCCTTAACATACTTAGTGTCAGGAACCACGAGAGGTGTAGTCAACGCAGGCTCTGGACCTTCAACTGCTAGGCTTGCAACAGGCGACGCCAAGCTAGGGTTAGAGGTAGGATCTTCCTGTTCATCTTCTCGAGTGGTCACCTTCGCAAATGAAGTTGGGCTCGAACTAGGAACTTCTCTTTGACTTGTCGCAAATGAAGTCGAACCAGCAGTGGTCGTAGTTTCTTTTTCAATTATCGTCGCAACAGGCAACGCTGAGCTCGAGCCAGCACTTTCTTCTTGTATCATCGACATCGCAAAAGCCGCACTAGGAGTTTCAATTCTACCTTTTTTAGGGGACTTCTTGGTTGTTGTTTTTGCAGATGCAGCTTTTTTTGGCGCGATTCCCCGATGGGCAAACGATCCCAAACTAGTACCTCGCGATTTGGGCTTGTTCGCATTGACTTTATTCGGAGATTTACTTCCTTTCGAGGGAGTAGAGCTTTCATGTTGAGGCTTCTCCTTTTTCAAGGGAGAATCAAGCGGGCTCGGCTCAAGAGTGGAACTAGACGCGCTGGGGGCAACAGCAGCAGCAGCCGCAACTCCTTCGCTGAGGACATCAACTACACCTCCATGTACAACAGAGGGAATCCTGTCGGAAGTATCCTTGTGTACTTTATCCTCTACAACATGGTGATCAGCAGCACCAGCAGGCGGAGGGGACGAGGCCACTGGTTCAGCTTCTAGTTCTGGATCAAGTTCACGGGAAGCATGAGCATCTTGTTCTCGTGAACTCGATCCAGAACCAGAGCCAGAAGCATGAGGATGACCGGTTGCGTCTTCTTCAGCCACTTCAGAGTCAACTCCTTCTCCACCCATCAGCAAGTCAAAAGTATCGTCTTGTTGCCTATCCCTATCCCTATCCCTATCCCTATCTTCTACTTGTTCTCTGGTCGGGCCTCCGCCTGCTGCATCTCTCGCGATCTCTTGTTGGTCAGCACTGCTTCCTGCAGTATTTTCCGATACCTGGTGTAGTTCTCCTTGTTCGACGTCGAGCGAAGGGGCATCTTCGGGAATCCCTTCACACGGTGGTTGTAGTTGTACGAGAGAAGTGGCGGTGCTTCGGGAGGTGGCTTTAGGCTTAGGCTTAGCCTTTGGACGACGCGCCGCTACAAACTTCGGCCTTGCTTTTGTATTCACAGCTGGCGCCACTGCTTCGTTAAGAAAACAAAAAAACGAACACAAGTAAATTTTCCACGATGCTTTCCGCCCACGAGCACGTCGCGGTGCGTGCGGAAAAGATGTTCTCTCGATGCTCTGTTTGGACATCTTGTTTGAACTGGAAGTCGTTAATGTTAATCAAAAATATCGTGTGAAAACTAGATTTACACCTTTTAGATTTTACTTTTATTCCGAGGTTTTTTCTCCTATCACAATTATCTGCCCAGTCTGAGTCTCGCTAAAAGCTAGTGCTGGCACGACAACGACATTGATTTAGATTTGCCATGACCTTCCGTGGATATTACTGAGGAACAGTATATCATTGAACGAGAGAAATATACGAGCACAGCGGTAAAAAATAGCGCACAATCTCTTTTTTCGTTAGAAGCTGTTACACACGAAGATCCAACCTTGTTAGAAGCTATCACAGAAGCGCTCCACTTGTAACATTCTATTTCCAATCAACATAAGCGCAACAATATGAAGATAATGGATCATGAACATGATAATGATCCAGACATTTTTCACCAGTAACGAAAGCGAAAGTCTCTAAGTAAGACTAGTGCTAGGAGTAGATGATCCGATAGCCCACGCACTACTACAAAAAGATACAACTACATTATTCACTTAGTACACAAGCGGTAGAAGATTGAGGCGATATCTTTCTCTACAACTAACTGCTTCTCCGAAAGGAAGAGTGGTCTTGTTCACAGCAAAGAGAATATAAAACAAATGTCACTCAACGAATCACTCAATGTATATTTGTTGGCTGATGTTCCAAGTCTACTCGCGTGGGAATTGCTGGGTTATTAACCTGGAGTTGCTGGCGTGATTGGAGATGGAATAGTGTTTCTTTTTAGGGTTAGACGTTTTTCGTGGAGTCTTTCACTTTTCCTTTCTCCTTCACAGTCGCCGATCTGACTTCATGATCCTTAAGTAGAGTGACATCATTCTCCGTAAAAGAAAGAGATAACGAGGAGAGTTCATTCTTCATTGTAGCGCCAGATTTTTTGGAACTCCGAGACGATCCTGTTGACCACGCAGAAGAAATAGAATGACAGACAGATTTCTCATTTTGAGGCAGTTGCAATTTTCTCAATTTCAGAAACTTTAACAGCTCTATTGATCATGTGAACCTATTCGGCAGTCCTCTGCCTAAGACGATCACACTGTTGAAAACATCGGGACAAAAGTCGCGTGCTCTTGATTTGTGAGCAGGTCGTGCTGCCGTGTCCATGTCCGACACTAGATAACAGCAAGCATACTCATCATCGCAGGTCTTGCTACAACAACAACAACAACAACAACAGTGCACGACTCCAGGGGGCTCTATTTCGGACGCTCATTTTTTTTCCATAGGACTACGTGATGCTGCCTCCCTGTCCCTATTAATCAATCAAATTGAATTCTGTAAGTTTGTTCGTAAATGTGACTGATTCTCCTGATTTTTTACTATCGTCCTGCGATTCGAGGACCTTCTGGAAAGGATGCGTGTCTTCCTTGGTCAATAAGGTTTAAAGCGTGAGATAAGTGCGCGAAAATAAGAGATGCAGAGCATTGTATAAAAAGTATCAGAGTTTTCCGTGGGCAATAAATTTGAGAGAAAATAGAAAGGCAACTTGTTGTTTTGTTCTTTTTATTAGGTCTTCGGCCCCTCCACCTCCACGTCGAGGACCTCATCGATCTTCGTAAAATGTCAGTCAAATTCATCTCATCTAGCCTTCCATGGAGTTTAGCACTGTCTAGCATCCCAGCACCTAGACTATGCGATGCTCTCCTGCGGCATCAGAAAAGAAGACACGAGACGCAGCAATCTGTTGATTTCGACTTCTATAATAACGGATGTTGAAGGGTGAGATAAGTCGACAGTCGTGCCATTGAATGTTATTCTTATTGGGAAACTAATCAATGGCAATGTAGTGAGATGAGTCCCAAGGTCGTCGTTAAGTTAGGTGCAGGCCCACTAGGAAAACTAGCAGATGTACTTGGCTACTGAAAAGTCATGTCCATGTCCTGACGCTTCAGTCAGCATCCTCTCGCCACCTCTATCATACAGAACGTACACTGCAGATGCCAGGACATAGGATATATAAGATAACATCATGATCATAGTCTATGAGCAGGTAGTATAATAAAGTGGGACCGACATGATCAGCATACGACGGAGTAGGATGCTGCAAAGTGTCTAAGCCAGCGCCTTCCTTGGTGAGTAAAAAGCTTAGCTTTTCTCCTACCCACTGTAACTGCATGAATGCTATGACGTTGCCGTTGGTCTAGTTGTATAAAAGTGCCTGGCGGCGGGGGCGGCGCAGGCCTAGGACTGCTCTCCTGGTTTTTCGGTCGGCACCAACGGATCTTGAAGCATTTGAGTAAAGATCGCATCCACAGGGCTTAAATCCCACTGCGAATGCTCCGGTCGTGTTAGTTTCGACAGCAAGATATAGCGCCTAGGCCTCCACCGTGAACAATTGGCTTCATCCACCACATCACTTCTGGGTGTCCCTGGAGTCTTATCAACACGTCTATAATCTTCAGCCTCTACTACATCATCTTGTTCTTCAATATGTTCTGGCTCTGCCTGTGCGCCTTGCAGATGTGAACCACTCACCACGACTAATTCCTCGTTTGCTTTTTCTACAGAGGCTGCATCTTTGCCAAAGGTTCTCATGTTCTCCAATGTTATTCGAAGTTTCAAAACGAAGTAAAGGCGGCCGTCGTCAGCACTTCTCTTAATCATCCATTTCCGAACATAAGTGAGGGAGACTTTGACCTGTGGTGTTTTCGGATTCGAAAAGTCCGCTCCACCTCCAGAAGTACCGCTCTGCTGGAACTCAAGATGACGTTGCAGTTTCTCAGTTAGATCCTTGCTTTTCGAACTAGCTGCGTCCTCTAATGCACGCAGCTGCGGCAACCAGGTAACAATCCGTTTGTCTTCACTGTGTGACGCCTCATCTTCTAGAAGGTGCTTCGTCGCTATCTGCAAATTCGTCTCCATCTGGTCTTGAGTTCTGGCGTAATTCTCTATCCCTGCCATTTCCATTCTCCACCAGTGGTCGTTTCCGCTTGTTCCGCTCTCGCTGATCAGAAGGTTACTGGCATGCATCACCTTCCCCAGCAAAATCTTTTCTGGTCTTGGTTTCAGTAGCTCCGCTTGCAGGTCAAAATTATCTCGGGGTTCAGGAGCATAGAAAAAGTGAGCATAGAAAACAGCAGGTACAGAGAGCCACCCGTTTTGTACCGCACGAATGAGCAAGCACTCCTCAATCGAATCTGTTGTGATCTCACCGGAGCCGCCATCCGAAGTGTGCAAGATGTCGAGAAAGGAGGTCTTTTTGTTTTTTAAACGAACAGTCTCTTTTGCTAGTTCCAGCTGCCGTAGACGTTGCGTCCGAGCGTAGTCTTTTTCGGGGACGTCGTTTACTGCTTCATTTGAGACGAGTTCTTGCTGCGGAGAGGAGACTACGACTTCGTCGACGTTTCTGGCTTCAACAGCAGCACCACTGTCTGCATTTCCCCTGTTAAGAAAAGAGTGTAACTGTGACTGTATCCAGTTTCGGGCACGATGCAGCGGGTCGTTAAGGAAGTTTTCTATTAGAAGGCATGTGGAGTTGCTGATCACCACGATCATGGTCACTGATTTCCTTTTCCTCAATCTTCTAATTTTGAGTAATGAGATTGCCTTCTAGAAGACTTCGCTTTCGTAGACCTACCCCGCCAACCTCTCAAGTTCCTCGACGAGTTGATTTTTACTATTCCTTAGTACACTTAAGACTCTCTATTCTTGCTAGAAGACGATATTATTATTATACATAGTTATACTTATAGACTATTTACTTAGATAATAAAAAGATATGAAGGTTTTTGTTTCTTAACTGAAATCGCTGGTCCAAGACACTTAGGTCCCATTCTACGGTCTTTCGGTTGCCGTTCGTGCGGTTCCGTACTTCTAGCTGATTTAGTGTTATGAACTCGACTGCAAGCTCGCGCGCAAGTTTTATCTTTTTCTTTTCCGGAAAAGTAGTTCCAACCCTTGAAGTTGAGGAGGTTTCTCCTGAAGCTGAAGGCACGTCGGTGAATCCAGTAGGAGCGGGTGTTTCATCCTCTGCTGTAGGTCCTTGTTCAGCTGCTGTTGAAAGAGGAGTAGTTATGGGACCATGTGCTGCTCCGACGACATGAAGACGTTGTTCACTTTCTTCTTCAACTACATCGACGAAGTTGTTCAGTGGCACGTGGTGAGCATTATAGGGCGTCATTATTTTTTCCTCTTCCTCTGCGTTTGCAAAAAGCTTGATGTTGCTCGCTTTGATCCGGAGGTTCAAACAGAATACTTCTTCAGTGCCAGTGCTTTTCTTCTTGTTCTTGGTGTGGAATTCAAGAAAAATATCCACTTTCGGACTAATCGGAGCTCTAGTTCCTTTTTGTTCAACATGATCGAAGTTTTTTTGTAGCAAATCTTCTTTTATGGGAAAAGCTGAACATTGCTGACGGCGCAGCTGCTCCGTTAGTTCTTCGCTCTTGCGATCAGCGGCTTCCATCAGATTGCGCAGCGTAAGCAGCCATTGACCAATCTGTTTGTCGGCATTATGGACGTCTTTATCGTTCTGGAGGCGCTCATTCGCACGGACGACCAACTCTTGACGGCGTTGTTGATCATCTTCATGAAGGTGGTCATGACCACCGGTCGGCGTGGCAAGCTCCAGAATCTTGAGCCATTGTGGGCTTTTTGGCCCGTTTAGTATTTTTTTTAGATTACCGCTGTTGAGCAGGCTTTGTTCATCTTTGGAAAAGTTGTCTTGAGGCCCAAACACCTCTTGCACGGTCAGATACCCTTCTGTAGCCGCACCGATGAGGAACGCTGTCGCGATCTCAGCAGGCGTCGTTTTGTGGAGCAGCGTCTCCCGGCTTCGCAAGATATTGAGGAAGCTGGTACGCTTTGAAACAGCTACTTGCTGTTGAGCAGCCTCATCTTCAAGCGTCATCCGTTGAAGACCTGGTTGTGCAACGTCAGGAGTACTTTCATCAAGCTTCATACGTTGAGGACCTCGTAGTTGTACTTGTTGCCCTTGATAAACGGGGCCACCGGTTGGATTTGGGGACTCAAGGTCAGGAATATTTCTAGAAAGTGGCGCAGGAGGAGGATCAACGCGACCCACGACCTGCATTTCCACGGCAGCAGCATCCTCAAGTGGTCGCGTTGAGAGAAAATCCGAAGAAACAAGCGAAGACGAACTACCTGGTTCAAAAATTGGCTGTAGCTGACGTGGGGGAGCGTGGTCTTGTTCGGGGGCTTCACTTGAACCGAGTTCTTGCTGCGGAGAGGAGACTACGACTTCATCGACGTTTGTGGCTTCAGCAGCCTCAGCATGACTGTGGTCATTTCCCCTAATACGAGACTGTGACTGTGACTGTATCCAGTACCAGTTTCGGGCACGATACAGCGGGTTGTTAAGGAAGTTTTCTATTAGAAGGCATGAGGAGTTGCTGATGACCACAATTATGGTCACTGATTTCCTTTTCCTCAATCTTCTAATTGTGAAAAATAAGATTTCCTTCTAGAAGACTTCGTAGACCAACCACGCCGACCTCTCAAGTTCCTCGACGACGAGTTGATTTTTACTATTACTTAGTACAGTAGACTTACTATTCTTGCTAGACGATAACGATATTACAGACTATTTAGATAATAAACAGAGATGAAAGCTTTTTTTTCTTGTTCTTAACTGAAATTGCTGGTCCAAGGCAGTTAGGTCCCATTCTACGTCGGTCCCTCGGTTGCCGTTCGTGCGGTTCCGTACTTGTAGCTTATTTAGTGTGATGTATTCGACAAGCTCGCGCGCAAGTTTTATCTGTTGTTCTTCATCAACTACATCGACGAAGCTGCTCAGTATCAGTGGCTTGTGTTTAGCATTATAGAGCCTCACTATTTCCTCGTCCTCTGCGTCTACAGAAAGCTTGATGTTGCTCGTTTTGAGGCGGAGCTTCAAATAGAATACATCAATGTCTTTCTCCTTCTTATCCATTTTAATGAATTCAAGAAAAATATCCACTTTTGGTTTTGGAATGATCGGAGCTTTTCCTTTTTTTTCAACATGCTCGAAGTTTTTTTCTAGCAACGTTCCTTCACCTCCAACACTGCGACCTTCAAAAGTTCTATCCTCACCTCTTTCCGCACCATCTACGCGACCTTTTACAGTTGAGGTTGAACAAGTGCCTTTTATGGGAAAAGCTGAACATTGCTGACGGCGCAGCTGCTCCGTTAGTTCCTTGCTCTTGCGGGCAGCAGCTTCCATCAGATTGCGCAGCGTAAGCAGCCAGCGACCAATCTTTTTATCGGCGCTCAGGGCATTTTTATCGTTCTGGAGGCGCTCATTCGCACGGACGACCAACTCATGACGGCGTTGTTGATCATCGTCATGAAGGTGGTCGTGACCTACGGTCGGCGTGGCAAGCGCCAGAATTTTGGCCCGTAGTGGGCTTTTTGTTGGCTCTTTTAGTATTTTTTTCAGATTATCGCTGTTGAGCAGGCTTTGTTCATCTTTGGAAAAGTTGTCTTGAGGCCCAAAGACGTCTTCCGCATCCAGCCACCCTTCTGCAGCCGCACCGATGAGGAACGCTGTCTCGAGCTCAGCAGGTGTCGTTTCATGGCCCAGCTTGTTCTGGCTTCGCGAGGATACCAAGATATTGAGAAAGCTCTTGCGCTTTGGACCATCCACTTCCTGTAGAGCCTCATTTTCAAGACCTTCATCACGTTCAGGACGACCGGTTGGATTTGGGGACTCCGACTCAGCAGGGTCACGAATATCATTTGAAAGTTTTCCATCGTCCCCCGGGCTCAGCATTTTCACGGCAGCACCGGATCCCAGTAATCCCACAGCAAGCCATGTTGAGAGAAACGCCGAACAAAGCCAACCGCGACGACAACGGGAGTAGACGCCGAACGCAGCCTCCTTTAGGTGTTTTTTGGCAACACCTTGACGACGAGGTGCGTGCTGGAAGATCTTGCCACGAGACCAACTCATCTTGTCGGAGGAAAGCAACATCTTCATTTTGCTGAACGAATAAGCGCCTAGATGACGGAAATAAATATAGTCGGGTACTACGTCGAAAATGCGAAGTGGATGATAGGGACAAGAAAGGTGCGCAATCAATAGAGATTGAAAGGCCAAAGGGCATATAGTTGTAGTAGTAGTGGCTTGATGTTCTAGTGCTTATAGTCGTAGTAGTAGTTGAAGTTGGTGAGGCATTGACGTAGTAGTATCAATGATGACGTCGTTATACATAGTTGTTGTAGTAGTAGTTGACGACATTGACGTAGTTGAAGTACTAACGTTTGAGAGAGTTCTTCTCCGTATCTATTCCGGTAAACGTAGTTGAAAGAGTTCCTGTTATAAAACACAACGTAGTGCCCAGGTCGTTTTGTTTCAGTTTCTACTCTTTCTAAATTAGTAGAGGACCCCGATCCCGAAGCCGAATACATAGGGTTGGTTGTTTCATCTAATGAGAATGATTTCAACTTACTCCAACATCTTGATCTTTGTTGAATACAAATTGCTAGCGGCGGATCTTCCACTGGGATGGCGCTAGCATTGCACGAACATGATCTCGATCCATTTCATGGCTTGAAGGATCTGTGGCTGTGTGATCCTTTCGGTGTTAGTGTGAGACTAGTCCCAGTAAGTCTGAGGCAAGTCACAGCAAGGGCCACAACTTCCACAAGCAGCCACCTTCCAATTTAGGGGGCAACCGAGT